CAGTCAGGTGTGACAGTGTGTGTGTGTGCTGGTGAATTCAGGGGGAGTGTGAGAGGAGAGGGACAGCAGTGGCTCTAGCAGTGTCTACAGTGCAATCAGATGTGTATGGGATATGACCCACAATGGAAATGGCTTTTGTGACAACAGGATGTGCACAGAGTAGTTCGTGATGTAAGAGAGATATTCTCGAAATCCAAGGACGATTGAGATATTGATATCTGAAAAAACTGCTGTCCAGAAGTGTTCAGCTTCACCTTGCAATGTCACCAGTTCCAGCGAAAGGCCTGTGGTGATTTATCCACCTTCTTGCTGGTTTATTATTTGTGCAGCACACCAGCAGGACACTTGTGTCAGGGGACTGGCGTTCTGCCGCTGCTGTTTGACTTTTCTAATTCAGCCCGTTAATTGTGGAGTCGCTGAGGTGTCAAGTGCAGTTTGTTTCCGTGTCTGATCAGCAGTACAGCCCCCCCCCCCCGTGCCAGATCGGATCTATCTTGCTCTGGTCTAGAGCAGCTCCCTTTCTCTCCTTCACTGCTCCCACAAATTGAAATGACAGTTTTACTACAGCCATAACATAATTACTTCTAGAGAGGCTGAGTCTGGCTGGGACAGGGGACAGGAGATCACACACTGGGCTGCAGCTCTGTGCTGAGTTTCTCCCTAACAGTGCAGCAGAAAGTGCGTCTCTGGCTCTGCTTCTCCCTGCTGGCAGTGGGAGCACAGCCTGTCCTAGGTTTGGGTCACTGAGCCTGTCCTCTTTGGACAGCCAGGTCTGTCTGTGTCCAGTTTGTGTCCAGGCTGTGGTCACTAAGCCTGACCTCTCTGAACAGCCAGGTCTATCTGTGTCCAGTTTCAATGTCCAGGCTGTGGTCACTGAGCCTGTCCTCTCTGTACAGCCACATCTGACTGTGTCCAGTTTCTGTGTCCAGGCTGTGGTCACTGAGCCTGTCCTCTCTGTACAGCCACATCTGACTGTGTCCAGTTTCTGTGTCCAGGCTGTGGTCACTGAGTCTGTCCTCTCTGGACAGTCAGGTCTGTCTGTGTCCAGTGTCTGTGTCCAGGCTGTGGTCACTTTGCCTGTCCTCTGTGGACAGCCTGGTCTGACTGTGTCCAGTTTCTGTGTCCAGGCTGTGGTCACTGAGCCTCTCCTCTCTGGACAGCCAGGTCTGCCCGTGTCCAGTGTCTGTGTCCAGGCTGTGGTCACTTTGCCTGTCCTCTCTGGACAGCCTGGTCTGACTGTGTCCAGT